GAAAAGGTATACATCTGCTGCTTCCTAAATTCTAGGTTAACATTCAACTAAATTGCTTATCACCTGACTCTCCATCTCTCTCCCTCCATCCAACCATTCACTTTTTTTTTAATGCCTTACAAAGGAAGTTACAAGTGTCAGTAGAAGTTGGGATTTGAATTAAGCCTGGAAGGATGTTATCAAGTTTATAAAGATGGAAGAGAGAGAAGAAGCAGAAGTCCAGGTATGGGGAAAAGTGTGGGTGAAAAAACACTGGGCAGGAATGTGCATGATGACTTCACAGAGCAAGAAGGAGACTATGACAGAGGGTAACAGGTGGAGAGAGTAATAATGAAGGATGGACAGGAAAGCTGGATGAAAGAGAACTTTGGCAAACCAACAGAGGAATTCCATTTCAATGAGAATAAATAAGTAAAATAGGAACTACCAGAGTTTCCAGCAGAAAGAATGTAGGGCATGAACAGTATCGGAAAGGTTAGTTGTCCAGATTGGCAGGAGTAAGGGAATACTAAACTAATAGAAGGCTCTGCATAAGGGAATCTGAGTCTGGGGATCGGTAAGAATAGATAGGGAGAGAACATAATTATTAAGAAAATTTAATATAAGAAATTTGTTTTATTGTTTTATTGTTGCTTAAATTCAAAAACAGTATTTGCTAGGATAGAATAATAATGTAGAACAACACAATCTAAATTAATTTTTTTCTAATAATGTTTTTCACGTGTGATCTTCAGAAAATAACTTCACTTGACAGAGCTTCGTGAGTGAGTGGATATCCATGTTCTGCAGATGTTGACCTGGTCAGGCTCTGTGCCAGCTGCATTCATGCCCATTATCTCATAGAATCCTTTTTTTTTTTTTATAGAATCCTCAAAGACCCAGAGAGGGAGGCACTTCTGCTCCTCTCAGCATTCCTCTAACCTGGTTAGAGGCAACCTGGTTGCTACAGGAGGTGATTTTGCCCCTGCCCAGGGGACATTGTGGCAACGTCTACAGACAATTTTGATTGACATGACCAGGAGGGTTACTGCTGGGTAAAGACCAGGGATGCTGCTGAACATCCTACAATGCATAGGGGCATCCTCACGATGAAGAATTATCAGATCCAAAATGTAATTAGTGTGGAGGATGAGAGTCTAACCTAATTAGTTCAGAAGCTGGGATAAGTAGCTGCTCAAGTCATATTTTTTGAAAAGTACTATTGGTCTAAGCTTATAGATGAGAAGCATGGGCTTAAGAGGGTTAAGAAATTTCCTAAGTTCATACTGCCAAGGAGTGGAAAAATGGGGTTTTTACTTTGGTCTTTTGGTTCCAAATTCAATGTTTTCCAGTTATATTAAGGACTCTGAGAAGAAGAAAAAGGGGTTAAAATAATTCCATTGTTTCAAGTCACAGGAAATGGGAGAATTTTAGCACCAAAGACCAAGGTGGTGATGTCTAAGAGGAAAAAATAGAAAGTCAGGGTTTGGGAGGGTGGCTAACCACAGAGTGTACTAATAACTTCAGTTCCTGATAGGTTAACATTTGAAGGGATGGGGTGGGGATAAGTTAAGTGACTATGTCCACTGGGGATCTGGCAAGAAGTCCTGAAGCTCAGAAAGAGGTCAGAATCGGAAATGCACTGCCTGTGACAGGCAGGTGTTAGCCATGGTCATGACAAAAGGGGTGTGGGATATGGGTTAAGAAAAGAGAACAGAGAAATAGAGGCTGAAGTCTAAGAAAATGTTCGTAAGAAAAGAAGTGCTGAAAGAGGAACCAAGGAAGACAATAAAGAAAATGGGATCCCAAAGCTGCCCACAGGATGTGCTTTTATTAAAGAAGCCAGAAGATTAGGAGTTTGAGAAGAAGGTCATTCAGAAATTTATGTTTCTTGGTGTGCCGGGAACAAGGTCCCTGTTTCCCATTCCACAGATTGCCCTAATTTGTATAACTGGCAGCTGACAATACTCGCATCTTTTGTATGCTGTTTGTCGTTTTCCTTAGAATTGTTATTAGTCATAAAAATAAGCTTTCAACTTCTATTTAGGCAAAAGCCTCAAATTGCCAGCCCTAACCCTTAGGCTTCCGGTAGCTTCTGGTCTGACGTGGACACCCCAAATATTGCTTACCTGGAGCCAATGTTCTCATTTCTCTCTGCTGAGTCCACACATCCTTGTTTGACCAAATAACAGGAACAAACAATTCCCTCTATAATGGATGTACCCTAAGGTGTCACGCTTCCAAGAATCTCAGCTGAAAATTGATTCCTCTGAACTATGGTGCAATATGATTTTAGTTAACACTCTTCCTATTACCAAATGGTAGGGATTTGAGCAAGTATGCCGAGCCTCCAGGCCAGGACAGTAGAGGTAGCGCCCAGCTCTGAACAGGGAGGAAGAACGGAGGGGTGGGGTTGGAGCACAGCTCTAAATGGTAGCTGCAGTCCCAGAGCAGCTGACATGTCAGCAAAAGGCCATTTAACTAATAATGACGTAACTGTAGTACTATGTCCCCCCAACAACTTTATTTTTTACAGCAAAATGGCTATTAATGCATATACTGGTAAGATTTTTTGCATGTTTGCTATATGCAGGGAATTACATTCAGTGCATCCTATGGATTACTCCATTCTGACCCTCACGAGGATTCAGTGACCACGAGGACTCAGTGGCCTGCATTTAATTATCAATTCCTCCACCCACCTTAGGACAGCTGAGGTTCTGACAAAGACTTGAAAAGCTGGAGTACTGGGGCTCGCTTCCTCATCAAAATCCTGGCTCTAAGCACCACTGTACACTAAAACTTTCTGTGATGAGGGAAAATGGTTTATATGCTGCCCAATATAATAGCTACAAGCCACACCTTGGTATGGAGCCCTTGAAACTTGGTTAGTGCAACAGATTAGCACTAAACACACACACACATACACACACACCCCACCTGAATTTTCATTAAAACATAAATATAAATTGCCACATTTCATAGCCGTATGGAATGCGAAACATTTTCAACCTTGAAGGACGTTCTATTGGGTAGCGCTGCTTAGGAGAAATGTTGCCTTTTCCCTTTCCTCCCTGGTTGGATTCCAGGGCAAGCAGAAGGGTCTTTCTCCTCGCCTCCCACCTCCTCCAAACCTCCAACCTCTGAGGAAGGAGATTCCCCTCCTCTCCCCTTCTTTCCCTGCTCCACTTCCACACTGCCCATCCGCAGAGCATCAGACTGTTCAACAGCCTTACGTTCGCAAGTGGAAATGACCTTTCCAAATCAGGCACTGCCAGGCGGCATCACCCTCCTCTTCATCAACAATCTGCAATTACTCCACTCTCACAAGACGGAAATCATTCTGCCAGAGCCACAATCAGGCAAACTAAATCTGAACATTCCAAGAATCAAAAACAAACACAAAACCCAAACACATAGCATTTAACGAAATAAACAAAGCGCATGCTTTGGGCTTTGCTAGAGCCGCTCTGTAAGTGGTGACTTTAGTTAGACAGAAAGGAAGCCTGTGAGGTTTCCTTCTACTCTCCAAAACTTTTTTTCCTCAAAACTTTTTCATAGAACTGGTTGTCCTACATTATTTAAATGGAGAATGGACCTTATTTGCCACCCAAAACAATGTTATGAAATGTAAAAGTATTCAAGCCTGGAACCTAAAGACCTTCACAGATGAGTGCTCAGGGCTTTCCAAGGTTGTGCGTTTATAAATCCATTTTCAGTGCTAATGAATTCTTTTACAAGCCGTATTTGCTAATTCTTAGGTGTGTTTTAGACATAGATTCACTAATCATTCCTTAGATGTAATCCAGAGGTTATTGCAGGGAAAATAGGACATAAAGTCCAGATTTATAAAGAGCAGAAGATTAGGGGGAGAAGAAACGATCAGGGGTAAACTGAGGAAGGGCTTTATTAGTCTATTTTTTAAATATACTGAAGTATTGGGTGGGTACTGCTCAGTAACTTTGCAGTTCCCTTTTCAAAATTTCCTAAAAATCTAACTCATACTGAAACTTTGATACACCACTGATCCAATCTCCCAAGGATTCTTGTTAAGATGCAGATTACCGTTGAGAGGTGCTGGGGTTGGGCCGGAGATCTCACACCCCCAGCAGGCTCCCAGATGACCACGGTGCTGTTGAGCAGCAAAGGGGGGGAGAAGGCAAGAGGTGGGGATCAGACCGGCAGTTGGGAGAACTTGCTTCTGACAGTGATTTACAGGAAGGTCAGCCTAGAATCTGCCTTAGGTGGGGAACGTCTGGGCAAACCTGGGACGCCGCTTCTGTAGGCCGCTGAGACCCCAGGCTTCCAGGCAACGAACGTTTGAGGGATGGGGCGGACCCCCGCAGACCAACCGCAGTCACGTCCCGCGGGGGCGTCTTACACGCCCAGCGCCTGCACCTCCTTCACCGGGCCCGCTCCGCACGCACGGGACTAGGATTATTCTCCCTTCGCAGGAGAGGAAAGTGAGGCTCAGAGGCTTAACTTGCTCAAGGTCACAAGCGTTTCAGGAGCGTTGAGTCCAGCTCCACCGAACTCCAACGCTTTAAACGAACACTTTGGAGCCTCAGTGTCCCGAGCTGTGGCCGGCGGAGGACGCATCCCTGCAGGACAACGTGTAAGGGAGCCCCGTGCCCGCCGACCCCGCAGGGAGAAGTTCCTTTGGAGGGCACGGAGCTCGCTCCGCTCGCCGACGGCTGCTAAGGGTCACGGCGGACCCCGGGGGCGGAGGGCGGTCCCAGAGCGAGCCGGCCCTGGACGCCGCGGCCGGCCCGGCACGGAACCGCGCGGCGTCCCCCGCGCCCCGCGCCGCGCGCCCCGCCGAGGGCCGATCCCCGCCACAAGCCCCTTCGGCCCGCGGGGCAGGGTCCGCCGCGGCGCTGGCGGGCGGGGGCCGAACCTGCGGCGCGTTTCCGAGTCCGGGCGCCGGGCTCTGCCCCGCCACGCTCCCCCCTCCCGCGCTGCCCGCGGGGCCCCCGCCCCAGCCCGCCGGCGCCTCCGCCCCGAGCGCTCCCCGCCCCGCGGAAGCGCGGACCGCGGCGGCTGCGGCCCGGGAAGGGGGCGCCCGGGGGCATGTCCGCGCGCCGCCGCCGGGGATCCAGCGGTCCACGCGAGGTAAGGGCGCGGCGGGCGCGGGCGCGGGCGGCGGGCAGCGGGCGGCGGGCAGCGGGCAGCGGGCGGCGGGCAGCGGGCAGCGGCCGGGCCGGGCTGGGCTGGGCTGGGCTGGGCGTGGGCCGGCGGGGGCGCTCGGGGCCCCTCGGGCCGCCGACAGGCCTGTGCCCACCTGTCCCGCGGGTGTCGGGCCCGCGCCCCAGCAGTGTCGGGGCAGGTGGCTGCAGAGGAAGCGCCTCCGATCCCCCCGGGCTTTCCAAGGGCAGATTTCCCGGTGTGATAGAGGCTGCTTTTCCGCTGGACTGGGCTGTCGGTGTCTTTTTCAAAAAAATGTTTTAAATCTTCTGCCTCAGGTAATAATTTTTATTTATCGTGTGTAATGTGCTAACAACACGTCAGCCTTCAGAACCCTCAATTTACTGAACTTAATTTCTCTTCCGTCTCTTGTCCTCAAGGAGGGCCCTGATCCCCGTAGTGCAGACTTACGGACAAGCGTTGGCAAGCAAAATTTTAAGCACGATTCCGGTAAGCCCTGGGGCTATTCGGTCAGCCTTCCGTGTTCACAACTCCGCTTTCTGACCATCTTACAACTCTCCCCGCCCCCCGCCCCATGTTGAGTCAGATGGAACCTACCAGAACACTGGTTAAACCATTCCATTCTGATGGGACTCAAATTGTTTCATCCAACTTGTTTGCTGAGAGCTGGGCACTCTAAAGGCGTAGCCAGCTTAACCCAGAAGAAAGACAAAGTCTGACAATTTTTTTTTTTACATTTTTAAATTTAAATTCAATTTGCCAACATATAGTAGAACCCCCAGTGCTCATCCCATCAAGAGATGCCCTCTTCACTGCCCATCATCCAGTTACCCCATCCCCTTAGGAGTACCCACCATTTGCTTGGAGGTGGAAGGCCTGACAAATTTAGAAACACATTGTCTCCGCAGATACCTGAGATCACTAGCTTTTAAAATCATCAAAGGATCCTGCAGTTTGTCTCCCTGCCCTCCCCCACCCCTTATGCCAAACTAGTCTAATGGTGTCTGACTCTCCCCAGGTGCCCAAAGTATGTCTGTTAACAAATTAAATGATGAAAATAAAGAGTCATAAATAAGTGACTAGATTTGGTCGCATAATCACAGGATCTTGGAAATTGAAAAGGGTTTTAGGGATCTTCTACTCAAACCCTTTACCTTGCCTGCCAGGAAGCTCAGATGCCCGTTGGCAAGGATTGGCTAAACTCATACTGTTCATTGGTGATGGAAGCAACACCACAGTCCAGGCCTTCTCCTCTCCACTTAGTTCTGCTTTCAAAGCATCTTGCTTCTAGGCATTTTGAACAAAAAGGATATAAGTAGAATCACCTGGAATGATATCATTTTCCTGTTCTTATTTATTTTAACTGGTGGAGTTTTGAAATAATTGAGAGGTTGATTTAGTCAAACCACCTCTGTAGTACAGCTTTAAAATTACAAACCCTTAATTTTAAATAATATTTGCATTCTTGAACAACGATGAATATGCAGATACATCCTAGATGAATATCCAGAGAAGAAAGGTACTCAAAACAGGTGGGCTCAGTTTACCTCCATCTCTCCTTAGAATCTCAGCTCCCTGTGGTGATGACTGGTTAGAGTAAAAGGTATAATGTATGACTTCGGGGCCAATTTGAGAAAAGGGGTTTATATGAGGATCATTTGTGTGCAATTTTGAACAGCATGAACTTAGAGCTGAGATGGGAACACTAAGCTGACTTCTTCAGCATTTTGGGCATTGCACATTGTTTATGTTTTTCAGTTTAGTTCAATTTAACAGAGATATTTATTCACCTACTATATTATATAGTGCCTACTATGTGCCTGGTGCTGTTCTGGGCATTTGGGATCTATCCGCCAACACAGCAACGAAGTTTGTTTCTGTGGAGCTCAAATTGTGATTCATTCATTGGAATTTTTTCTGGATTTTGTTTGGCAGGTAGAATTTTGGTTTTGCCTAAAGTGGGGAAATGAACATAAATGTTCCAAATTATCTTCCTTCCAATCCCCTGACCCTGCTGATTTTATAACCACTGAAAACAAACAAAAGAAGGAAATTCATATAAAGTACTTTGACTCCTATGAATGTATATCCTCCTGTACATGAAGAGCGGGTCCCACAGTTGTCTATTTTATGTATGTTCATTTGGAGACCCTTAAATTATATTTCCTTTAGTGCAGGGACATCATTGTGCTGACATTAAACTTAATGAAGTGTGGGAGAATTCGTGTTCTTGATAGTGTTAGCGCTAGCCATGTTAGTGTCGCATACTGTAATTGTACCAATGTGTGAGATGGAGCTTCTTATTTATTTATGAAGATGGTGTTCTGCTTTCATTTTCTCTCACTTTACATTCTGTCCCCCACTCCCCTCCGCATCCCCAGGCCTCACAGTGTTGTGGCTTCTCGGTAAATCCGTTACCACGGAAGGTTTTATTCAGACATTCCAGTTTTAAGCATTTTTCTAGTTCCCTCAACTGCTTTTTCTTCAAAATGGCATGGTTTGCAAGCTTAGGCATGTTTATTGTTTTTAACAAAGGCTTATCAAAATGAACTTGGCAGTTTTTCAGTCGTATACAGCCAAAAAAAAGTATTCAGTGCAGCTTTTGTGGTTGTTTATGCATTCCTTACCTAACCTATTGCTTTGCTTTTAAAAATCGCTAATTTGGAAGCTATTTGCTTCTGAGAACCTTGGTAGGATATCTCAAAACTAACCCATTAAAGTGGTAGAGTGTAATAATTTAATTGAGAAAAAATCAAATCCACATTTGATGTTGGGAGATTTTGAGTACCAAGATTTTTCTGTTTTTAATATGTTCGACATCAAAGGATGTCAGAAAGTGTCATTATCTAACAAGGTCCTATTTGAATATGGTCTCTGTTAAACACTTGGAGAAGAGTCACGATTTTTCTTTTTTTTTTTTTTTAGATTTAAAAAAATATTCACGACACACACACACACACACACACACACAGAGGCAGAGACATAGAGGGAGAAGCAGGCTCCTCGCAGGGAGCCCGATGTGGCACTCTATCCCTGGACCGGGACCACGCCCTGAGCCAAAGGCAGATGCTCAACTGCTGAGCCACCCAGGCATCCCGAGAGTCATGATTTCTGATGGCTGCTAGGGACCCAGATTAGTTGATTGCCTTCAGCTGGCCACCACGTTGCCCCATCAGATGCTCATCTCCGCTTTCCCTCTTCTTTTATCCCACATTGATGGATGGGGTGAGCTGCTGTAGCCACGTAGGAAGTCACACACACCTAAATAAATTATTTAATGTGCTCCTTCTTTGTTTATTTAATAAATAATAAATACTTATTGAACTTCTCCTTATTTTATATATTTGTATGAAGATGGGGTTTTGAGCACCTCTTTTTCCATGCTGGTGGCAGTAGGGGCTATAAAGCCACAGAACTTGCCTCTGCAATAGCTTACAGCCTCATATGGGAAAAAAAAGACATTGTATGACTAGCTATAAGACAGGTTGTGAACACCATGAGGTCGGTAAGTACTTTGGAAATTAAAGGGGAGGAGAGAAAGCATGCAGAGCATGCGGATGCTGTGAGGAGTACAAGGTTTGGGGAAGACATGCTTGAGCTTCTCCTTGAAAGACAGGTAGGGTGGTAAAGCTTCCTAGAAGCAGGAGGGTATATCTGTCTTTATGGGAACGTACCTTTGCTTTTTTTTTTTTTTTTTTTTGAAGAACTATCAAAGAGTTCCTTTTAGGGGCCAGGTAAAGCTGTGTTGGGTTGCATGATAAACACTTATCACTTCTGCACTGTCTGCATGCTTCGCCCTCCATCTTGGGTAACAGAGTACTGACCCACACTAAAATAACTCGGGGTTGGGATGTTTAGGTGGCTCAGTTGGTTAAGTGGCCAATTTTTGGTTTCGGATCAGGTCCTGATCTTGGGGACCCGATCACCTTGAGCCCTGCGTCGGGCTCCACACTCAGCGGGCGTCTGCTTCAGGATTCTCTCTCGCGCTCCCTCTGCCTCTCCCCCTACCCACTCTCTCTCTCTCTCTCTAAAATAAATGAATAAATCTTTAAAGGAAAAAAGAACAACCAACAACTCAGGGTTAGCCAGTACTCTCCTTCCCTCTGAAACCCCTCCTGGTTGTTGCTTAGAGCACAGAGGTCACTGTGGCAAATAGCTATCATCACAGTAAATTGGTGTACTTTGCTTTTTTATGAGCTCTTGTGCATACTTATAGTAGTGTTTGCTCATAGTCCTGTGTATTCCAGTAGCACTGGCCATTATAATTTTGCAGTTTAATGAAATATTACATAAGGTGATACAATGATACATTTACATAAGGTAAATGCCAAAGAATGCTTTTCTATAAAAACTAAATTGATTGCCATAGGCGCATAAAAGTAAGTTATTTCGAAAAACAATGTCAACACATGCTATATAACATGAACCATGAAGACATTATGCTAAGTGAGAGAAGCCAAATGCAAAAGACCACAGATTGTATGATACGTCCACAATAGGCAAATCCATAGAGACAAAAGTATGTCCGTGGTTGGCGTGGTGTGGGGGCGAGGAAAATTGATCATGACTGGCAATGGGCACGTCATTTCTTTTTGGGATGATGGCTTTGTTCTAGAATTAGATGGTGGTGATGGCTTTATAACATGTGAGTGCACTAAAAACCACTGTAGCCTTTAAAATGATTAAAATAGAAATTTTATCTCAACCCCTATTCCGAAGACAATGAAGCTAAAAAGAGAAAGGGCAACATCAACAAACAGCTTACTACTGCTGAGATGTGGTAAAGCTGTAAAAGATTAGAAAACTATATTAAAATACAGAAAGATTTTGTACTCAGGCTTTTCCACAAGTAACTTTAAGGTACAAGTACTTTTATTGTCTTTGAGAAATGTGGTACTGTGATAGACAAAGTGAAAAATGCTGATCTAGTGGACTTCTTAGAAGTGATCTTGTTTTTAATGACATTTGTTCTTATTTTACATAGTAATGGGAATTCTTAGCCCTTGTTACCAGTTAGATATCCCCAAATGTATTTTCACTTTTGGTTTTTGTATTAAGAGTAGCACTGTGATGGATTTGACCAGTCTGAACTCTGTTTTGCAGATTTCTGTGAGTTTTCAAAGAGTCTCGGGAGCTGTTAGGGACATGGGGACAATGCGGGGAAAGATGTCCTTCATCCAGTGTGGGGTTCTTTATGGTGATCTCTTCTGTAACCTGAGCAGGTGTGCTATTCTAGATTTCACATTTTGGGTTTCCAAGTAAGATTTTATCTGAACAGTGGATTTCTTGGTGAAAATAGGTTTGTAAATGATTGGGCCACGTGTTTGTAAGTTTCTGTTTCCCTTTCCCTGCCAAATTTGGTTATGTCATTCTGGTAGTTGCTAATTATTTCAAAATACTACTGTGCACCTGTGTTGAAAATGCATGGGAAGACATTGGTCTTATTAACTTTATATCCTCTGTGCCTGAGAGAGAGCCAAATGAGCAGTTAGATATTCTGGGCAAGAAGCATAGATTGGGAGTTATTAGCATAGAGAGTCAGTGTAAGTCCTGTGTGTATGGAGGTAACCACCCAATGAGAGTGTTGATAGAGAGATGTGTGGTGAGTCAAAGATAAAATTCTGAAGAATGGCTGTGCTGGGTCAGGTACCCTCTGTACTCACATTTTGGTCAATAAAGTTTTCTCTTTAGTTTGCTATTTCCCCACATATGCTTGGGCATAATTGTCAAAAGAACTGGAGCCTGAGTGTATACAAGTGGGGGTGGGGGTATGGGGTAGGGTTGGAGCATAGGCTGTGGAAAGCAGCCAAGGAAGTTTTCTCTTTCTTTGAATACCCTACATCCTAGAGGGCTCCTTCTATATGTGTATTGATGTACAGAACGAGAAGATAGACTTGAGTGTTTGCCTCATGGATTTGGTACTGAGAGAGCCATTGCTGTGTTTCTGGCATGCAGTGATTTATTAAGAAGCATTATGGTTTCTTGGTTTTTAAAAACATGGACTCCACCCCCCGTACCTCACTCCAGGTCTTCATTCTAAACTTGTGGTACTAAAGTGGTGACTGCTAGGTTCTGAGTATGGTCGCAGTGAGACCTCAGGTAAGTCCCCATTCCAAGGGGTCTGAAGCTTTATTTTGTTTCTTTGACACAGATCCTAACTTCAATGCTGGCCAGCTGTTTGCAAATTTGTTACAAGTCTCAAAAGGCAACAGCCTGTTAACATAATTTATAAACTCATAAACCCTCTCAGAAAAAAATCAAAGTACCATGGTAAAGAATAAATAAATGTTCATAAATAAGACACTGGCAAAAATATTTTACTTAATAGTTAGGGAGTTCCAGTGATAAGGGTCATTGAATCAAAAAATTAAGCACCACATATTTTTCCCTCTTGTTTTTACTTCTTTCATTTGATTCCTTCCACATTCAAAAAAGATAAGTTCTAGGGACACCTGGGTGGCTCAGCAGTTGAGCACCTGCCTTTGGCCCAGGCCGTGATCCTGGAGTCTCAGGATCGAGTCCCGCATCGGGCTCCCTGCATGGAGCCCGCTTCTCCCTCTGCCTGTGTCTCTGCCTCTCTCTCTCTGTGTGTCTTATGAATAAATAAAGTCTGTTTTTTAAAAAGCTTTAAAAAAAGATAAACTCTAGATAACCATATATTCTAATTTTATGAGAAATTAAGGTCTAATTAAAATTTCAAATTTCATTAGAGGGCACCTAGGTGGCTTAGTTGGCTAAACATTTAACTCTTGATCTCAGCTCAGGTCTTGATTTCAGAGTAGTGAGTTCAAGCCCTGTGTTGGGCTCCATGAAGCCTACTTAATAAAATTTTAAAAATTAAAAAAATTTCAAATGACGTTGAATAGCTGATGCATCTGAGTTGGCATTTCAGAATCATTCTGGCACATTCTGCTTTCTTTACAAATTTTTGCATGATCATATATCTAATTAGCAGCAAATACAGGCCATGTTAAGGTAAAGTTTCAGTTTTGTTTTTAAAAATTTTTTGTTAGTTTTAAGCTTGGAAGAGACATTTGAATGAGATAAAATAGAATTAGTTACTTTTAAAGCCTCTAATAAAAAAATACTGGGATTAAGCAAAGTTAAAATAACTCAGTGAATTTACCTTTTCATCAGGCAAATGTTTGCTGAGTACCCAGCATGTACTAGACACTGTGTCAGGTGCTGAAGGCCCACAGGGAATAGACAGGGTCTTAACCAAAGGTTTACAGTCTCCTAGGGAAGGCAGATGTGTGGACAAGTAGTTAGGGCATGGTGATGAGTCACCTAAGTGACCACTTGCTTTGGTTCAGAGCCAGAGGTACTTAATGCTGTCAGGTACTTAATGCTTCCTCAGGTGAACAACCTGAGGAAGGGCGTTCTAGGCAGCAGGCACAATTTGTACAAAGGCGCTGAGGTAGGAAAGTAACACTGGGCACTGAAAGACTCATGTGGTTCTTCAGGGGGGTTAGGTGTAGCTGACCTGCAGGGCGAACATGTGGCTGGAAGCCAGATGGGATCAGAGGAACTGGCAGGAGCAAGATCATTCAGGGTCTTGATGTACCACACAGAGGAGTTTCGGTTTTGCTTTGGCTGCTAAGAGGAGTTCTTGAAGGCTTTTAAACAGAGGAGTGGGGGTGGGAATGGGGGTTTGGTGATAAAATTAGCTTGTGTCTCAAACACACATTTCTGAATGAGGCTTGAAGAAAGGTCCAAGAAGGTGACGAGGTAGGGGTCTGTTGAAATGGTACAGATGGGGAGTAAGGTTCCTGCCTCATGATGAAGACTTCTACTTTATTCCTATTTATATTTCTTGGTGCTTGATGACCTTTAGGGCATTTGGTGGAGATGTCTGATAGGCAATTTGATATTCTGGGCGAGCAATCCAAGTGTGGACATCATCAGCTAATAGGCTCAGTTGAACATGACAGGATTGGACGAACGAGACATAATTGGGTGTAATTACCCAAGGAACATAGAAAGAATGAAGTGTGAAATGGGTCAAAAAATTGTGGAGAATCATTAGGGTATGTTCACATTATACCCTGGGCACATGTTGGTCATTGTACCTTTCTTTTTCCCTCAGGTTACATGCTGATCTTTTTCTAGACCAACAGAGAAGGCAGGGACGATGTCTTCTTTCCAATGTCACTGCCATTGTTCGCGGTTCAAGTCCTGTGTTTGGAAATAATCAGGGAGAGTGTTTATAGAGAGACGTGCGATGGGTCAGAGATAAAATCCTTGTGCAGTTCCAGAAAGCACCACTCATGTGTCTGAGTAGATGCGCCTCACTGGGAAGAGTGCCTTCTGGAGTTGTGCTTCAACTGTTGCTGCTTCGCTCGGCCCAGCAGCTGTCATGGTACCTGAGATGTGGTAAGTGTTCCATATGTTTGTTGAATATATGAGTCAATGACAGAACATCTAATGAGTGGTCAGAGAAAGAAGGATCTAGCAAATGAAAGCAAGAAGTGTAGATCTATAGGGAAGAAGAATAAATAGGGAAGGCTCCTGTCATGGAAATTCAAGGAAGAAAGAGTTTCAATAATGAGGGAGTGCCAGATGCTACAGAGAGGTCAACTGATGAAAGATGGCAGAGTTACCGCGGGCAGTTAGGAGTCACTGGTGCTTAAAAACAGCTTGGGTGGCGTATAGGGGAGGATGGAGGCAAATTCCATTCCATTGAGGTGGGAATGAGAAAAGAGATGAGGAGAGTGTAGACGGGTCCTTAAGAGGCTGGGATTGTGAAGGGAAGAAGGTAAGTGAGGGCTGCTGGGAGGCAAGCAGGGTTGACCAGTGTGGGGCCGTCTTCCCGTCTTCAATCCTCTTCCCTTCTTTCCTCTCTTGCATTCCTCCTTCCTGCTTTCAAGGTGAGAGATATTTGGAGAAATTTATAGGCTAAAGAGGATCCAGTGTAAAGGTCTAGGTTCAAAATAGAGAATCCAGGAGAGGGGAGACTCACCTGAGAAATTAAATACGAAAGGGAGCGTCTTTCTTTGTCAAGGGAACAAAAGGGATTAAGGATGCATGTGGATAGGGATGAACTGGAGGAATAAAGCTGAAGGAAAAAATGGAAAATAAACAGCCCACGTGGGCAGCCCGGGTGGCTCAGCAGTTTAGTGCCGCCTTCAGCCCTTCAGCCCAGGGCATGATCCTGGAGACCCACATCAGGCTCCCTGCATGGAGCCCGCTTCTTCCTCTGCCTGTGTCTGCCTGTCTCTCTCTCTCTCTGTGTGTGTCTGTGTGTCTCTCTCATGAATAAATAAATAAAATCCTAAAAAAAAAACAGCCCATGTTTTCTGTACAAACTAGTAACTGGCATCTTGGGGACATTTTATATGTTCTAAGCATTGTTGAAAACCACTATGTATGTTAACTCTCTGAGTTCTTGCAACAGTCATGTGAGGATGGAGTGATCATCCTAATTTTACAAATGAGACAACAACAGCAGAGATGGGCTAAGCATCTTGCCGGAGGTTGTGCAGCTGCTCAGAGGCCGGACCAGGATGCCTTTCAAGCTGGTCCCCATCCTGCTGTGGAGTACGTGGAGTACTTAAGATCTTGAATAAGCAGTGTGCATGTGGAACAGGTACAAGTGTTGCTGCTGAGTCACTCCACGCATTTAGTTTGGGTTGGACATCATCACTGCGCCTTTAATTTGCAAGGTTGAGAGACTTCCTCTAGCAAAACTTGCCTTACCAGTTATAGGAACTGAAATGTTTGGATGATCAGATTGATTCAAAATTGGGGATTGGTGGCTTGGAAGGAGTGGGGGTGTCAAAAAGAGAGCAATTGACATGATGGAGAACAAGCTCCAGTCTCTAAGGAGCAGGCAAGCTAAGGGAATGGGAGAGGCCAGGGGCCTTGGAGCTCAAGGAGGTTGGAAACCAGGTGCAAGAAGAGTTAGGGAATTGTGGAGGAGAGAAGGTTGGGGTTAGGGAGGGATACTAACATCTCACAACTACCGTAGATTTCAAAAGTGAGGATTGGTGCAGGTGACCATTGGTTGATGACTTGGGGAATACATGGCTGAAATTGAATGGAGGTGAATCTTATAGGATGTGATGAGGTCAAGATTGAGGCTGAGATTGACAGAGATGTTGGGCACGTGTTTACTATACTCTGATTCTTGTTGGGAGATGGTGCCCAGTAGCCCTAAGGACTGCTCTGGACTTTAGAAAGCTACAACCCAAGCATGTTATGGTTCTCGGAAAAGATGCAAAAGGTTGGCTGATCTCTGGCATGCAATAAATATCATCTGATAGAACATTGTCTAAAAATGTTCTCAATTTCTCATAGTCTCAATAGAACATTGTCAAAAAAATGGTTGAATAGCTTCTATTTTGCATGGTAGCTTTTGAAAAAATAACTTGCAAGTATCCATTGGCAAAAACTACGTTTCACAAGCAACTTCAGATGCTTTAGCTAAATCATCATTATCACCATGGAAAGAAAGGACTGTGTGCTCAGATGAAACCTCCTCTTCTTCTTCCTTCTCCCCCATCTTTCTTTTCTCTGGGAATGTGCAGTACAGCACTCTGTGGGTAGAGAAGCAACTGAAGATCATCAGGCTTCCAGCTGTTGAGCTTTGTTGTGATCTGTGGAGGTGGGGGTCATGGGAGAGAGGCCAGAAACTTAAATGAGGACTCAGTGTGGTGTCTTTGCCTCCACAGCTGTGCATACCACTGTCTGCTTTTCTCTTCTGCCCATTCAGGATTTCAGGAAATCAAAATTAGATCTGATGTAAGCTCAGCAGCCCCACACGTGAAGACATGGAACTACTGCCTAGGGACAGAATATGTGTGCTGGGCATGATATGCATGTGAGTGACATGTGTAGATAGTGAATCAGGTAGGCTGTTCTGGGGTATAAGGAACAGAAACCCCAACGTGGACTGGCTTCACTGGCAAGTAAAAGGATTTCTTCATTTAGCAGAAAGTCTGGGAGCAGAACATTTGGGCTCTGATGTTATTTTTCTGTGATTCTCTTGGCTCTGTCCCTGCCATGTGTTGGTTTCATTCTCAACCTGATTGCCCTTGTAGTTCCCAGATGGCTACAATTATTCAAAGAGTCACAAGGAGATAGGAAACATCCAGGGGAGGGGGAGAAGCTGCATCTTCGTGCCTTCTCAGTAGTGAGGAAATCTTTCCCAGAAGCTCCCAAAAGACTTCCTTATCCCTGGCAAAGATGGGGTCACTGCCCTTTCCTTAAATCAGTCCATGACTGGCAGGCCCAACAGGATTGCTGTAATTCTTGATTAACCACTTGGGATGGACTGGATGTTGGGAATCACGTCCATGATAGAAGGCTTGAGGCCATGGTTATAAATTTCCAGCGTTTTCAAGGGTAACAAGCCTCGGATGGCGGTCAAGCCCCACTTCAGCATTTGCTGGCAATATGAACTCGGGCAAATCACCGGCTTCTGTGAGCTTCTGTTTTCTCTTAGAGGATCATCGTGGTCTGGAAAACACTTTATATAAATGTTAAGGAGTTAATTTGTCATTTAGCAATGATGATGATAATGATGATGCGAATAACAGTTCCATTTACTGAGCACTTATGTGATCCAGGCTCTTGCTATGGGCTTTGATGCATTTTCTTTATTACTCACTAAACACATATTAAGCAACCATCATACTCAAGGCATTCTACTAAATGCTTTATTTCTGATCTCTGTTAAGCTGAGATCTGGAACTGTAAGGCTAGGGACAGAGAAGGGGGTGGTGCTCAGTTCACCTATGCGTTTCAGTTTTTTTGGCCTGTGTGACCCAGTAGTGGAAGCTGGCTATGGGGCCTCTGACAATTGCTCCTGCTCCCTTGTCTGCCGATGACGGTCTTTAGCGAACTAGTTCAGGGCTCACCTCGCCAGGGATTTGCAATACACAGGTGTACAAGTGCTTTTAGAATATTTGATACTCTTCTTTTCCTTGTTCCTTTATTTCCCAAACATAAGTTTTTTTGTATATTTATGCTTTAGCAATATTAGAGGGATTTACAAATGTTTATTAGATGCTTGTCTATATTGTCTCTGAGCCTCATGAAGAAGTCAAGCCTGGATTTGCATTTGTATTGAGGCTTAGTGGTCATGAGATCCATCAGGTAATGAAGTCAGGAGGTGGTGGGTGAAGTCAGTAGGTGGTGGGGCGTCATTTTTTGTTGTTGTTGTTGCAAATTACCCTGCTTTGAATATTGTTGTGAACTTTTCCCATATTTTGGGTTCTGTCCTTAAGATAGTTCCCCTGAAAGGGAGAATCTAGGCCAACGGGTTTGAAACTTTTTATATGGACTGCCCGATTGGTTCATGGAAGGTTTTTGTTTTTGTTTTAAAGATTTTATTTATTTATTCATGAGAGGCACAGAGAGAGAGAAGCAGAGGCAGGCAGAGGGAGAAGCAGGCTCCATGCAGGGAGCCTGATGTGGGACTCGATCCTGGATCTCCAGGATCATGCCCTGGGCTGAAGGCGGGGCTAAACTGCTGAGCCACATGGAAGGTTTTTGAATGGTGAAAATGACACACTAGAGTTATTTGGGGATTATGCGTTTTCTCGTTCTACTATATTTTATCTGTCTGGGATCATAAAATATTTTGAACTGTTCTAAAACCCCATCCAACTTACATTTTCCCAGGTCCCCCTTGCAATTATAATAAAAACAGTGTTTCTGTGGCTCAGCCTATGCTGGATTTTGAGGAAATCCCGCCTATGTCAATTCCTTCTCATTGGTTCGTAAAGTCCTGGGGAGAAACTAGTCCATCTTGGTTCATCCTTTCCTTAATGTGAGTTACTGCCCTTGAGGCTTCTTGGTCTGCCTCCCTGAAGGTCTCCCTGAAGAGACAGACTCCCTGAAGGTCTATCTTTGATATACATCTGCTTTTTTTTTTTTTAACATCTGCTTTTTATTCATAGTTCTGGCTCTCATGCTGGGAACTCTGTTCTTAGACAATATTCAAGTAGGTTGTTGCAGACAATGAAGTGAGATATACTGGGTTTTTTTGCTGATGCAGTATGAATATGGAGAATCTGTTTTGGCGTTGTGGTAGAAATATGAAGACTTGTATTCATATGACTTGATTTCCCTTGTAATTCTCTCAACGGTTCCTAAAAAATGCTTCTTCCCACCTCTCCCTACCCCATCAGATATGTTGATGAATAAAGCTATGTGAGCAATGGAAAGTCAGAGGAAGGAACTGTCCTTATTCTTAAATAGATTTTTTAAAAATTGTAGCTGCAACCATAGCATATACAAATTGTATTTATATTTTGTCCTTTGTACATTTCCTTTTTTTATAATAAATTTATTTTTTATTGGTGTTCAATTTGCCAACATACAGAATAACACCCAGTGTACATTTCCTCAGCTAATTTTTAATTTTTTTA